TTGGAGCTAAATCTAAGGCTTGCTTCATTTAGATTGATGCAGAAAGGGGAGATGTAGTTTATATCTCCAAGAGAAGTTCTTCTTGCACCCAACTTGATGGTGCTGATGTTTTCTACTAATACTTGATTTGTTAGAATCCTGAGGAAAAAAATAGAGAGGGCACATATGGTGCCTTTTCTTGCAGTTGATCTGTGATTTTGGATCCAAAAAGAATTTCTCTATGCCTCTATCTCTAATAGAGCGAAAGTTATGAATTTAACTGTAGTTGGCTACTTTGTGTCTTTTAGTTAGATGGGTTTTTGATTGACATGAAATAGTTTCTTAAAATATATACGATTTTTTTTAGTAAACTTTGTGGATTGGTAGAAACTTGGCTTTGACGCATTTGTAGAATGAGAAGGAAAGGGAAAGGACATGATAGAATCTGAGGATCAACTTGGTTGTCTTTGACTCTTAATATCTTATTCTGGGTCTCCTCTTTTAAGTGGAAGCAATATTTAGTATATTTGTAAAATATTTGACAACCTAGTCTTGTCTTTGTAAATACTATGTTCCAAGCAATATTAAGTCTGTGATTCCTGTTTATTGGTAAAGGCTAGCAGTTAGTTGAAAATTCTTTGGTCATAATCTTTTACATAGTATGTGTGAGGTGTGATTCTTGGTTGGAGTGAGAAAACAAGAGACAATGATGTATGTTTTTTCTCTCAAGGGCCAATCATTTAGATGCTTAACATGTTAAATATTGGTGTTTCCTCAAAGTTTACCGGGACTTTGGATAAATCAGTACATATGTATCATTTGGATTTGTAATCTTATAACATATTTTTTAATGTCATATTTTTGTGATATACAGAAAATTCCGGTGTTAGGAGTGTCTAGTACACATAAATGATAATCATGAATTTTATAAGCAAGCAATTACAACTGGCTAATAAATGGAGCAAAAAATTTATGGTGAGCGCTTACCGTTCATGGGAATCATTGACTAATTAAAGAGATAGCCAACCCTGTCCTTAAAGATGTTTGACTACCGCACAACCAAATGGCCTGAATGCTCATTCTGGAAAGGGCAGCCTTGGCCCTGGGCAGCTGTGATTGTTAACACTTCTGTAAACATATTTATGTTCCATCTTGTCTTCTGTTGGATGACGCAGCTTTCATTATATATTACAGAAACAGTTGTCATACCATTTTTAGAGGAAAGATTTTCATTCTCTTTTAGCTGCAGTAACCTCTTTAGTTTCAGGGACAACCCAGATGCAATTTACAATGAGCGTGGAAACATAAAATTAAAGACTATGAAACTTTCACTATGCTTTATATTTTCTCATAGAGAATTTTAGATACTTGAAGTGTTAATGGGCATGGGTTGGATTCTCTTTTTATGAGTATTTTCCTCCGTTTTGGATGAGGATTAATAGTAGTTCGACTTTATTATATTATATGCATAAGGCTACATGATACCATAATGTTAACACTCTTGTTGGTAATGACCAGGGCAGTCCACGTTTTGCACGTTTTGCAAAAGGATTTGGAGATTAGGTTTGTTTTAAAATAAGAACCCAAAAAAAAAAGAAAAAAAAAATCTTCCACCTCTATCACCAACACCATCCAACATTTGGGAAGGGACAAAGTGTTGGAAAAAATGTATAAATGGCGTAAATGCTGTGAAGGTAAGCTTTGGGAGACATGATTGTAATTCACACTATATTATATGTATTCATGTTATTAAATCTCACTGAGATATTTCTTCTGAATAGATATTTCTTGTGTTTTATTAGATCTTTTTGAGGCCTAAATCCACTGTCTACGCCTATCTGTTGTTGGTATTGTTTTCTATACACTTCTGTATTTCACAAGATTAGAGACTCTAGAGGACAGCACCATTGTGCTGTAAGTACTTTGCATGAGTGGCAGTTGGTTTCCGGGTGGTAGGGTTGAGTGCTGTGTCTGTTTCTTTCATCTAGGTAAGGTAGGATGCAAGTGCTGCACCTCGTCTTGCATAAGATGTAGGGTTTATTTCTGATAATTCTAAACTAAAATTGAGCTTTATTGTCATGTTATGATTCTAAGACACCCCTAGTAGCACAAACTATCTATCTTCCCTACTCACCACTCATCACCATCAAAAATTTGTAAATGCACTTATCTTCTGCTTGAAGACTCTTGTACTCTCTTCTTAGCAATGATATGTTTTTCCTTGCTTTCATATTCTGGTCTCTGCTGGAAGGTGTTTTTCTTATCTACATGATTATGTAACAAATAATGAAGTGGATAACATTAGTTTTTGAAAGAGATGACTCTAGCCATGCAATTCTGGTCATTTCTAATGCTGTTACAGATGAAATACACTTCAAGCTTTGAGGCATCAAGTAGATTGACTAGATACAAACTAAGAGCTGTTTAACCTTTCAATTATCAGCTTGCCCTGATCCTTGATTTTGACACTACCATGCTCCTAGAGATACATACATGTGTCAAATTTAAAATTTAAGTACTACTTTGGTCACATTCAGAGATAAGACCTTTTTTGTGAAAACAGAAGAAAAAATTTATTACTTGTTTGGTTGGCCAACCAAACTTTCTGATGATTTGGGCAAGACTCCAAGCCAGACATAGGTGGGCAGAAAGAAGTAAAAGAAAAATTAGATAGTGATACAAAAAATTACCTTTAGAATATAGTTGCATGGGGCACGGTTCTTTCCTATTCATGGGAGGGGAAAGAGAGTACGAGGGGTAGTCCTATACAGTGCGCTAGTGACAAAATAGGTTTTATTTTCTGTTTCTAAATATAGGAATATGAGGTTGTGTAAGTGTCAGATTTAAGAAATATGTTGGTTGATATAATTAATGGGAGAAAAAAACTTGAGCATCATGTTGCAACTAAGGACAACATACTTTATTTGATTAATTTGTCACTCTTTTTGTTATTGTTTTGAAAAAAATAAATTTCTTTTAACAAAATTTTAATTGGTTTGAATTCTAAATCGGGTCGTCGGAGTTGGCGAATTGGCCAGTTCGCAAATATTCCCTGTTTCAAGACAATTGAACCCAGCTCGTGGTTCACGTTAGCGTTCCATATTCTCGACAACTATTGTTTAGAATGATATTACAAATCTAAAACCGTTTTATAGAGAAAAATGCTTCAGATGGGACTTGTTATGCCTTACAATAGGGGAATGTATTAAGGTAATGGGGTAATGGGGTTGCTAAGGAATAACATCATGAATTTTTTATTAAATATACATGCTCTTCTTTTCTTACCTTCTTTTCTGGCTAGTTGTTGTCATAAAAGAATATTTTTGGAAAGAGTACTTTTGACTCTTCTTGCGGTGCATGTTACTAACACATTTTTATTACTTTTCTGCAGTCGTTTAGCTTGTTTTTTTTCATCTTTATGTGTTTTCCATTCTTTTCTCATTTACTGGAGCATTGAAATCTGGAGTTCATTCGCTTGTAGAAGACAGCTGATAGCATCTGTAATGTTGGTTAATTGAATGTCTCTTGGAGTTACCTTTAATTTGTGCACGATAAAGGACTATGTTTATGCTTACTTGAGAGGTTGAGGTTTATACTAATCTGTTTCCCCCTTTTCTCTCTTTTTCTTTTTGGGTGTTTCTGGTGGACTTTAGGGATTGCCATGTAGAGATGTTAGGACCAATTTTGGTGTATTTCCTTTTCTTATGTAGGATTTTGGTTATTGTCTCTGATCCTCAGTTCTTGTTATGTCATTTTGAGATAATGTAATACAATTCCAGGTACCCCTTCTAATCTTTCAAACTATCTGTAATATCCCATTTATTCGATTAAGAATTTTATATATGAAGATAAGGGCATAGTTTGGACAAAACTGCACACTATATTCGTGTGATTCTTAAAAGATCCTACTATTCAAAATCTCAAATCAAGCCCTAACACAGTCCAGATTTATGCATTAAAAGTTTTTTGGTTTTTTGACCTGTAATATTGCCAAAACAATTTGTCATAGTCAAGTTTGTCATGTTGAAGACTTTCATGCTGGCAAAAACTGACATGAATAATATTGCAACTTGTTTCTCCATTGTTCCAGTGTGTCTGTAGCATGAGATGTTCACCCGGCCACTTTCCCTTCTTTTTTTAAAAAAGCAAGGTGAAGTCTTTCAGCTGAAATTTTCCAAATTTGAAAGTTAAAACATTTTGATTTATTGCATATGAAGATTTTTATTACACATCACTAGTTGTATGAAATGAGGTTTGCTAATTACTAATTATGTCTCAATATTTTGTTAGTTTTTGGATTCTGTTATCTTTTCTCTATTAGTCTGATATATGTTAACATTATTTAGTTTTGCTTTCTGTGTTTTTTCCATAAACATTTCCCATGTCTATTTAGCGGTTATTCAGCTGGTAATAACTTTACCTACCCTCTACTTTAATCAGATGGTGGAACTGTGGACCAAGCGGAAGTTCAGGTGTGATTGTGGGAATTCAAAGTTTGGGGAGGTTAGCTGCAAGCTTTGTCCCATCAAAGATTCTGAAAATGCTGATAACTCTTATAATCATAACTTCAAAGGATCATATTGCACATGTGGACGTCCTTATCCTGACCCAGAAGCAGAAGAGCAGGTCGAAATGATACAGTGCTGCATCTGTGAGGACTGGTTTCATGAGAATCACCTTGGTCTTGATTCTGTCAATGAGGTATTTACATATCCGATATGCATTGAAAATTTCACATCATGGGTTAGGGAAAGCAAATCATAGCCCACTCAAAGGTTCTTATTTGTTTTTTCAATCCTGTGTGATTATATTTCGTCTACCTTATCTGATGTAGGTTTGTCTTGTTTGATCTCAGGTATTAGTGTTGAAGAAATGCATGCTACCTTTTTCTTTTCTTCTTCTTTTTCTTCTCTTTTTTTTGTCTGCTATTTGTGCTGTGTTCTTCTCGTGGTTTAATTTGTTCTCTGGATTTGAACAAATCCCTTTATCCAATTTATATAGTGTTTTGTCCTAGGATAATTTGGAGGATGGAAACTAGGCCTTAGGATTGTGGCAAGCTTCTCTTTTGTCCTTATTTTCTTGGACTGGATTTTGACATAGTTAACATCAGGTTGATAGACAATCGTAGAACTTTATCAAATTTTCCATGGAGCCTATTCCACGGTGAAACCATTTTTACAGAAACAAGCTCTACATCCTACAAGATAATTCATTTCATACTTTAGTGTTACTTTCTTTTGTCTGGTTCTCAGTAAGTCCATACATTTGATGTTGAAGAACCATCTTACTCTGCTTGTGTATATAAGTCTCGTTTGTTTCTTACTGCTGCTTTTTTATTAGAAAAGATTGGTGTTGGTGTTGGTGGGAGTATGTGTTCTTTGTGGTAACACACGCACATTATATACTAAACAATTAATATCAAAGAAACAACCTTTACCTGTTTATACTACACTGTCAAATTTGTTGGGTATTTGTTTTCGCTGATGCTGAAGCTCATTGGGCCAGGAAAAGATATTGTTTATTTTTAATTCTTTAATCTCACCACGCCTCATAGGTTAAGAAATTGTATTCTTTTATCAATATGCAGTTTAATAAATTTCATTACTTGTATATGAACCACATAAGAAAAGCTTTGCCTTATCTTTATTTCCATGAACTTCTGGAACATAAAGAATAATCATTATTCTTAGATTTCTTTACTCCCATGTTAAGAGATGAAACTGTGCTGGTTTGCTTGTGGAAATTCATTTGTGTGTCTGTCTATGTGTGTGCAGACGTGTGCTTGGATTTGAATTACACTTACCTATTTATAGTATACTGCTATTGGGAAAAGAAGCATCTTATCATTTAGTCCTGGTAAAAGATCATTGGTTCAGAAAATGTTTGTTTTTTAATACCTATTCACTCACCAGATTGTCATAAAAACTAGATCTCTTAATATTTCAGTACTCCATTGAGGCATTGACTCTGTTGTTCTACTTTACAATCTATTACTTTATTTTATCTTTATTATGTGATTGAATAGTGTCGTTCAGATGCAATTGGATATTTTATTTTAGGGTTATTTGCACTTTGACCCAAAATTTCACCCTTTTAACTTTTTTAACTTTGACACCAAACAGTTCTATTTTGACAGTTTGTTACCTCAAACTGGGAGGGTAAAAAAATACAAGGTTAATTTTGTTCAAGTATATTAGTAAAAAAAAAGTTATGAGGAAATATGTTATCATTTTTTAATTTTTTGAGTTGGGAGAAAGTAAGGAACAAATTTGAGGTTTTTGGGTATCAAAATTTAAAATTAAGTTCAGTTTGAAAACTTTGGGTTATCATGCTGTCAAGAACTTTAGGGTATTGGAGTTAAAAAGGGTGAAAATTTTGGGTAACAAAGTGCAAATAGTTATTTGTTTTATTCTATATTTTTGCATTTTTAAGTGATTCTGCTTTATTTCTGCTATAAATGTGTAGGGCATGAGCACTTGGTTGTATATCATCATGTTGCTGTGTGTGTATTTGTCTATTAAATAAAATTGTTGTGCTATTTAGCCCACACTTTGTTAAGTCAAAATTACTGGACAGTCTCATATAACAAAGACATTAGACTTTATGCACTTTTGGTGATTGAAATCCCAGTGAGGAAGTTATGTTTGTGCTAATTATTGTCTACTTTCTCCTTGTTTTTTATGACGCTCAACGACTGTTCATAGATCAGTTGTCGACTTGTTATTTTAATATTTATTTTTGGATCATTGGCCATTATTATGTGTTCGATTCCTCTTTCATTGCAGATTCCAAGGGATGAGGAAGATGAACCTCTATATGACGAGTATATCTGTCAAGAATGTTCACTGAATTGTTCATTCTTGGATCTTTACCCTGCATCTGTTTGGGCTACACCAAAGCAAAAGAACGATACAGCACCAAGTGGTAAAGAAGAAAATTCTCTGAAAACTGGGAAATCGCCTTATGCATGTCCGGAGCAAAATGTGATCAACAGTTCAAGCATCCATTCTGAACATGAAACTGCGTTAATTGAGAAGGATTCAGTACATGGGGAAAATATGGAAAAGACTTCGGATTTGGCAATTCCAGAAGAGCATTCCCTGGATAGAGCTTCAAGTTTAAAATGCATTCTTGGAGTGGATGTAAATATCAAATCACATGTCTTGGGAAAAAAGATGTCCATGTTTCTTTCTAAAGGTTGGAGGGATCTTCTTTGTCGGTGCAGAACTTGTTATGAGTTTTATAGTGGAAAGGGTATTGATTATTTAATTGATAAGGAGGACTCACTCCAGGAATATGAGAAAATGGCAAAGGAGAAGAGGGAGGAGAAGTTGCAACAACAGGAAGGAGATGCAATGAAATTCATCAACACGCTCGATCACGTCCGGAAGATTGAGATTATGAGTGGCATTAATGACATGGCAAATGAGCTTAAGTCCTTTATGGTATGACTTATGTTCAGTAACTTTGTTGCTTTCTTTTCCTTTTCTCGGTTTGAACTTTTTCCGCAAGCATGTTGTCTAGGCTGTGTAGCCTACAAGCTGTTCTTAATAGCCAGTCTTTAAGTGACTCTGCACTAAGCTCCATGCTAGGTGCTGAGAGCCGACTACAGTTTTTTAAAACTTTGACAAATACTAGATCACTAACTTTTTTTTTAAAATTTTAGAGTTAAAATGTTTATTTATGTATTCATGTACTCGCATTCGATTTTATACCTTGCTTACAGTTATATGGCCTGGTTACAAACTTAAAAGTGTACTTGGGTTAAGACTGCTAGCAAAATGAATTTATGTCTTGTTTAGACTGTGTTGTGGTAACTTGCATTGGAACTGGTAAAACTAGGATGTTGTAGGAAAGAAAGGGAACGAGAACACTTAATTTGTCCTCTCTGTCATATTCTATTCGTACTTGAAAAGTGCACACATGATACAATGTGACACGATAAAATGTATTTGGTTACTCCCTGTGCCAGCTTATATCCCACATAAGCAACACTGCATCTGTTACATTTACTGTTTTCTTTGTTTATTTCTTTAGCACCCCTTACCTGCCCGAGCTGACCAATCAGCCAACCCATGTCAGAAATTATGTAGAGAAGTCAATTTCCAGAGAACTTGTTTGAATGCATGCCAAATTTATGCTTCACAAGATTGTCTTGTCACCCGCATATGTCAGTACAAATTTGGACGCCAGCGTATCAAACTATATTTGAACATTATATCAACAGTACGAAGTGAATTCATGTTCATAAATGTTTGCTTTTATGTTATGCAGGAATCGGTTGGGACATCAAGAACAATCACTTCAGATGACGTTCGAGGGGTCTTTGAAAATCTTGCGAAAAAGAGGCAGAGGTTTCAGTAAGCTTCCACCCGACACCAAACCGCCTCTTTCCAGATCCTCTTCGTCGAGCTAATCTGCTGCATCTTCTTTCGGATCCGACTGTCATTCAAGTCGTGAAAACAATGAGCAAAGTTGTATAGTTAACTCTTTAAGTTAAAATTTCCCTGACCCTGACTTCGATCCTTGCACCATACTTTAATTATTATGCAAGTTCTTAAGGAAAACCCGACATCGTTTATTGGAGTAGCTAGCATGTATGGTTTCAGTTAGGACTTTGTGGAATCTGCTGTTTGTTTTCAGGTATGCGCATGTCGTGGTCATTTGCCTTTCTGGTACGACTTCTAGTCTACAACGTCGGAGCTATAACTGCATGTTTTGGGCTTTGTAGCGCTTAAAGCAAATAACATTTACCTAGCTAGCAATAACACTTCAAATTCTCCAGTGCCTTTTTTTTTTGCAACAGTTGCTGGAATTGATCTTATGATAACTCTAGGCGTTTCTTGTGTCGATACTACCCCAAAGTTTGTAGCTAATGCAACTTATCTAATATTACAGAACTGACTAAAGGTTGAGACACAATCAAGATTCGGACCATCTTTAGCTTATAGTTAACTCGAGGGTATCTAGTTGTTTGTTCATCGTATTAATGGCGCATCAAAGGAATGGCGGAATGTATATCTACTTTTATTAGATTAATGGTCAAATCTCCAAATCTATTAAGAAGCTATTTGGTCGCACTGTTTTTGGGAGGAAACAAGTTTAGATGAGATGTTTTTTTGGTTCGTAGTCTACTTTCCAAAATTTACATTGTTTTTATTGTCAGGGGCTGTTTGGTTCGTTTCCTTGATATAGAGAAATGCAATTCCATGTAAAGAAACACAAGTTTTGAGTTTTCCAAACTTTTCCAAGAAATAGATTGTTTTGCTTTGGTTCGCACATAAAAAATGGTGGGAAACCAATGTATTTATTTTTCTTGTGTTTGGTTCGCATAGAAAAAAAAGAAAACTTTTGTAAGCAAAGTAGAGAAGGAAAAAATCTGACGTGGCAGAGTTTTCATCAATTTTACTTGGTTGTGGAAGGAAATCAGAGAGGGAAAAAATCTTAGTTGGCGGCGATTTCAGCAGAGTTTTCCCTCTTCCATTCGAGCGAACCAAAACGGCACAAAGAAATGGACGGAAACAAAAATGCTAACGTGGAGGGCTAAAAATCTGACGTGGAGAGGTTTTCTGAGTTTTCCACCCCTTATAATAGCGAACCAAACAGCCCCTCAAAGGAAAAAGAGTGATGTGTTATCTATTTTGTTAAGGTGGCATCTAAAACAAGAGGGAAGTAAGTACACAGTAAGTTATGGTAGCAAAATGATCAAGTGGGTGGATGTATCATTTCCGAAATTTGTCACAAGCACCCACTTTTACAAGAAGCCAACAAGCATAACATGTTGAACTTTTTTCAATGCATAACTAATTGAAAAAATGTAAGTTTTCTATGCAAAGCTCTCGAGCTCTTTTCAGGCGCGTTTTCTATGCATTAATTAATTGGGTAGGCTGCGGCATGACGACAGTTTCAACTTTACTCACCTTTTGATTCTCACTTCAGTTTGCATGTGATCCCCATCTTCGTTCTTTCGCATGCCAATTAATGACTCCCTGATTACAGCTACTTACTGTGTTTATTCTCATCAAGAGCGTGACGCTTCACCTAAGAAATTTGTCCGAGCTTCATGTGATTAGCTAGCGATTCCCATTTCGGTGCCTAAATTTAAGGGCGCATCTCTTTGTGCATGTCGTTATCACGAATAGGGCATAGGCCTTGACCTAATCCTTTTCAATTTTCCTATTTTTTTTTTCTCCCAAGGACCGAAAGGTTTTGGGACCGCCATTTGCTGTTTTCATTTGTTTCTTCCCCCCTAATTTCAATTTGGATCTTTGAATTAATTTTATTTTGTTTGTCTTCTTCTTCAAACATTTATATATATATTTATATCGCTTGTGAGAGCCTTTTTTATTGTACGTAATGTTGTGCGCGGCGGAAGCTTTCAAGGGCAACACGAACAATAACTTGAACTAAACCACAAACAATATGCAAAACACAATCACAGCAAGAACAAGGAATTTACGTGGTTCGGCAAGTTGCCTACGTCCACGGGGCAAGGAGGGGGGAGTTCTTTCTACTAGAAATCAAGAGAATACAAATAGGGTTACAAATCTCTCAGACCAAACCCTAAAACAAAGCTCTAGATCTCTCAAAGCTCTCTCACAATTGGATGCAATGATTCTCTCTCTTTGGCTGCTCAAATTCGTCCAACCTCTACCCTAAACAAACAGGTTTAGGTATATATAGAACTTACAAAACGAATCGGGTCGAAAACCTGAAAGCCCAGCCCAAAACAGCGTCGGTCGACCGGACCGGTCGACCGCGAGCAATTCCGGTCGACCGGCCCGGTCGACCGACCAGCTCCCAGTCGAAAACCCAAAAATCCAGAGAACGTCGGTCGACCGATAGTTCCTCAACAGGTCCAGGAACAATACTCGAGCTGAAACACGATCTCCCCCCATCTTGATCAACTGATCAAACCGGCTGCATCTAAAGACTGCCTACGTATCCTCTTGCCCAAGGAATCAAGCCGAACGTAGTTCATACTAATGGCCTCCAAAGGCCTCAGCACTGAAGGATGTTCAAAAGCTTCAAACAATGACCAAATTTCACTCCTGAAACAACTTTGGTCAACATATCTGCAGGGTTGTCATTTGTGTGGACCTTCTCCAATATGACATCTCCATCATCCAAGACGTCCCGTACAAAGTGGAATCTGACGTCGATGTGCTTCGTGCGCGCATGATAAACCTGGTTCTTCGCCAAATAGATAGCCGACATACTATCACAATATATCCGAATAGTCTCCTGTGCAATCCCCAAGTCCTCCAATAATCCACGCAACCATAAAGCCTCCTTAATAGCTTCAGTAACTGCCATATACTCTGCCTCTGTAGTAGAGAGAGCCACTGTGGACTGAAGCGTGCAACGCCAACATACAGGTGCACCTGCCAATGTAAAAGCATAACCTGACGTAGACCGGCGTTTGTCAAGATCTCCAGCATAATCTGAATCCACATAACCAATACAAGCCTGCCCGTCCTTCTCATCCTTCTGAAACACTAAACCAACATCCACGGTGCCTCGAACATACCGTAGAATCCACTTCACGGCCTCCCAGTGACCCTTCCCGGGGTCATGCATGTATCTCGATACCATGCTCACGGCCTGTGACAAATCTGGCCTCGTACACACCATCGCATACATCAAGCTACCTACTGCACTAGCATATGGGACCTTCGACATATAATCTCTGTCCTCAACTGAAACAGGTGACATCAACGCTGAAAGCTTGAAGTGGGGAGCCATGGTGTGCTAACTGCTTTTGCATTGCCATCAAAGCTGAATTTCTTCAACATCTTCTGCAAGTATCTCTTCTGTGTAAGCTTCAATTTCCCCTTCACCCTGTCTCGCTCGATCTCCATACCCAATATCTTCTTTGCCTCTCCAAGATCCTTCATCTCAAACTCGGATGATAACTCCTCTTTCAGCTTTCGAATAGCTGAAGAATTCCTGGAAGCAATAAGCATATCATCAACATATAAAAGCAAATATATGAGCTCACCATCCTGTAGCTTGTGCATATAAACACATGGGTCATATGGGCTCCTCGTGTACCCTCGGCCAATCATAAAGCCGTCGAATCTCTTATACCACTGTCTTGGTGACTGCTTCAAACCATAAAGAGACTTCTTCAGCTTACAAACCAAATTTTCCTTTCCTGCAGCTTTGAAACCCTGTGGTTGTGTCATGTAGATCTCCTCATCTAAATCACCGTGTAGAAAGGCTGTCTTCACATCCATCTGGACCAAATCCAAATCCAACTGTGCCACCAACGCCAATAAAATCCGAATCGACGAATGCTTCACAACGGGTGAAAATACCTCGTTGTAATCAATGCCCTCAAGCTGTGCATATCCCTTGGCAACTAATCTGGCTTTGAACCGAATGTCCCCAATAGAAGATCCCTCCTTCTTCGCATATACCCACTTGCAACCAATAGCTTTCTTACCCTTAGGTAGATGTGCAAGTGTCCAAGTGTCGTTCTTCTGAAGAGACCGCATCTCCTCCTCCATAGCTTCCCTCCACCTGATCGAATCGGGGCTAGACTCTGCCTCCCTGAATGTGGCTGGAACCATATCATCAACGACCTCCACTGATAATGCATATGCGACCATGACATCATTATACCTAGCTGGCCGACGAATCTCTCTCCTCGGTCTATCTGCTGCAATGGTCCTCGGAACATGACCCTGTTCCTGAGTCCCATGATCTACTGTATCTTGTATCTGCCCATCTGTAATCTCATCTCCTCCCAGTGTCACCTCTGTAGGAGCCTCAATGGATACAGTGTTCTCTGGAGTGGATGGAGTCACATCATCCTCCACCTGCTGCGATATCTCTCCTGTCTGGTCTCCCTCCACCTGCTGAGGGGCTCGAGGCCTCATCATGTACGCCTCGTCAAATGTGACATCTCTGCTAATAACTATCTTCTTGTCCCGTGGATCCCATAACTTGAAGCATTTGACTCCATCCCTAAATCCCACAAAGACTGCTTTCCTCGCTCTCGGATTTAATTTGCCATCACTGACATGATAATAAGCTGGACACCCGAATATCCGAAGCGACTCATAGTCACTAGCCTCCGAACCAAACCAACGCTCCAAAAGAGTCTTCCCGTCTATCGCAGTGCACGGCAACCTGTTCACAAGATGGCTCGCATAAACCAACGCCTCGGCCCAAAAAGATCTAGGCAATCCACTCTGCGTCATCATACACCGCACCTTCTCCAGCAAGGTACGGTTCAATCTCTCAGCCACCCCGTTCTGTTGCGGTGTCTCTCGAACTGTGAAGTGTCTTCTAATGCCGTGATCCCGGCAAAACTGCAGAAACGGATCACTCTTGTACTCTCCACCGTTATCTGAACGTAGAGTCTTCACCTTTCTACCTGTCTGCAGCTCCACTTTCTTTTTCCACTCCACAAAAATATCCAGGACCTGATGTTTATGCTTCATCGGGTATACCCAATTCCTCCTGGAATAATCATCAATGAAAGTGACAAAATAGTTGGCCCCACCAAGAGATGTGTTCTTGGAAGGACCCCAAACGTCCGTGTGAATATAATCCAATGTACCTTGGGTGTTATGAACAGCGGTGCCGAACTTCACTCTAGTCTTCTTCCCAAGTACACAATGCTCACACAATTCCATCTTGCAGGTCTTAGCACCTTTCAATAGCCCCTGTTTAGCCAATGACTGTAGGGACTTATCTCCTGTGTGTCCAAGTCTCATGTGCCATAAGGTGGTAGTGTCCTCCTCTGT